TCTCACCGGCTCAAGGTCGACTCAGCCTTCCATCCTTCCGAGGTGGGTGAAATGAGGACCCGGACTATGGGGGCAAGTTGCTGACTCAATTTGCTTTAAAAAAATTGTAAACCACTTAGAGAGGGCTGAAAGCCCTATGAAGCGATATATAAGTCTAATAAACAAATAAATAAATAATCAGATGACCATGGGATGCTCCAACCAATTGTAAATGTCAGCTGCTGCAAAGCACCCACATTGCAATCACATGACTGTGGAGCAGGGGTGACAGTTGTATGTTCAAATTTAGACTGTAGTTGACTTTTTTGGAGGCCACTGTTAATAGTTGTAAGTTGTAAGTCAATGTTATAAGTCAAGGACTACCTGTAAATTGGTCACACTATGTCTGAAATTTATATAGAACATAGAATCATAAGGCTGGAAGGGACCTTAGAGGTCTTCTAGTCCAACACCCCACTCAAGACAGGAAACCTTATACTATCTTGGTCAAATTGTTGGCAAGTCAATTTTAAAACTTCCAGTACAGAAAATTCTGACAGCAACTTACAGGAATTTTGAGGAACAGTATGTTGCTTATATATAAAACAACCCCCTTTCCATTACCTTGTAAGTTTAGTTGTTTGCTTTTCAGTTGATTATAATAAAAATTAATCAAAGGTGAGAAGAGATCTACAATCAAGCAGTGAGACAGTATAAGCCATTCAAAACTTTATAATATTAATAAGACCAATGCTGCTATATAATGATATACTGTATCTGAAAAACAATGAAACCAATATGTGGTAGTATAGCTTTGCACTGAAAATTATCTACACTTCTCATTGTCAAATTTAGAACTTTGTTTCATTAAAATGTTGTCTCATATAAATTGCAGTAAGTTTCAATGGAAATAACATTATTTTTTCCAAACTACGTTAAATGAAGTAATAGAATAACAACATATATGAAGATTTAAGGAACAATTGTTAGAAGTTGTGGTAATGAACATGTAACAGTTTTCTGGCAATCAGTTCTGACTGCACATTTTAAAATTGAGGACATAAAATATGGGAAAGAGCCAAGGTAAGCACTTCTGTTGAAAGGACAAAGTCCCCCCTTTGAAAAAGGTAAAACAAAAAACAAAAAACCTCCCAGCAGAAAATCTTTCACAGCAACTAAGTTCAGGATGTTTACATTTCATATTCTTTCTCAGTAGGCTAGAAAGATGTATTAAAAATTGGCTGAAAATAAGGTGTTATGTAATTGTCACATAATATCCTGTTGTAACAAAATGTTCAGACTTTTCAACATTCAATAAGTGCTCTCCTTGTTTGTTTCTTCATTGTGTCTTTGCATTCTGTGTAATAATTACTTAATAAACTCAGGTTACTATAAGCAGCAAATGAGACTTTGAACTCCCCCCCCCTCCCTCTGCCCATTAACTTTCCAACTTCCATTGATAACATTTGCTGAGGTTTGGAAATCTTAATATTGTACAGACCAAAACAAGTGGTATGGTATTTTACCAAAAACCTAGAAACAATCTAAGGGCATGCATAAGCGCACCAACGTGCCTACCATCTCTGTCCTTTTATTCGTATCCACTTCATATATTCAAATCATGTTTATACTTATATATGTTATCTAATTCATGCTTGATGAAATAAATAAATAAATAAATAAAATGGGATGAAAAATACTGGGATCTACTCCTCTAAAGTCTCAACTTTTACACATCTCTATGCCAGCTTCAGATTTGAAAAACACTTAGATAAGCTCAAGAAAATCTCTAAATATATTCCTTCTCATTGTAGTTTTTGGAAAATAAGCAACACTGAAAAAGACAGATAATGCAAACATCCCTCCATTATCATGTCTACCACTTCACATAATGCCTGCCCTTTGAGGTAATCCAAACAAGAAACCCAAACCTCGAAAATTATATTATACAGTTACAGTAACAGAATCTTTTAGGTCTGAAAATACAGTATATCTCCCACCCTTTACTTTCCAGAGAACTAGGGAGCGTCAATTCTGTGACATTTTCTCCACCCCATCCTTCCTTTGGATTTGGGTTTCTCTTCTCAGACTCATCTCAGTTGTGTCTCTTCCTCCTGTCTCTCAAATTTATTCTTACAAACCAATATATCTGGTAACCAACTGGGCAATAGAAATGCTAAACATTTATGCACCATTAGGCTTTCTAACAGTTTTTTCTTATCATCATTTAGCGATCTAAAAATTATTGACATACCTTTGCCCATTATTTTTAGCTGTGTTTTCAGTTTTTAATGTTTTAAATAATAATAGCTGTTGTTGTTTGCATTTTTTAAAATTTTGTTGCAGGCTGCCCAGTGTCATTTGTTTTGTGAAATGGGTAGCCCCAGAAATTGGAAGAATAAATAAATAGGTAAATCCCACATAAAACAGATGGGGGCGTGGGGAATGGAAAGAAACAAACTCAGGCAGGTACACTGAATTATATCTTGCATATTATGAAAATAAGCTTGCTTTTGCACCAACATCAGCTCCAAGCTTGCTTTTGCACCAACATCAGCTCCAAAATTGTTTGTAAACAAATTGAGCATTATGGTAAAAATACTAAATAAACTGAGTTGTTTATTTCAGATGATATTCATATAATGTTGAGAACTCAAAATTAGAAAATTAAGTTGATGAGCTTACTAAAGTATTATAAACCATCTTCTCTTAAGTATTCAAGCTTGAAGAAGCATAGACACAAAAATTTATCCACATTAGAATTCAAATAAAGGAGAATTTACAATCTATAGAATATTAGCCTTTGTTCATCCACAATCAAATTAATATGAACAAAAACTTTATAGTCCTATAGCTGATGTTTTGGACAATTTAACCAACTTACTTAGTCTCAAGGAACAACTAAGCCCTTGAAAAGCAACATTCCATCTATTGCCTCAATCAAACATTTCACTAGGAAAATAAATTTCTAATATATCAGGGGAAAGGTTTCACTGCCATCTGCTGGTTTTGATAGCTAATATCTATGTAACCGACCTAAATAAGGAAATAATTGTGCCTGTAGAATTTCAGTAATGGCATTTTAAATAGCATTTTTGACACTAGATGGAAATGTTTGGTGGTATGTTCAAAGATACAGCATACACATCAACTGCTCATTCTTCTGATCAGAAAGATTCTGTGCTTTTCTCCTTGCATTTTCCAAGTGAATATCACTGAGCTTGGGCAAAGTAGAAAATGTTGCTGCTTTAAATATTTGGAAATGTGACTCCAACAAGCAATTGCATTTACCCCTGGAAACTGATCTAGGGCAAATTCATTTTTGAAATGAGTAGGTGATATGTGTTCTATTTAATAATGAATTTCAATATTTAGACAATTAACCAGTGGACTGGCTTGTCTCCAGAAGCTGTGGTTGCTCCATTACTGAAGGTTTTTAAGAAATGATTGAATAGTCATTTGTCTGGAATGACACAGGGTCTCCTGCTTGAGCAGGGGACTGGACTAGAAGACCTTCTATTATTCTGTGTATACGATGAAACTGGGTGTAAATTAATACATGGGATAATGTGGCTATAGAAAGCCTTACATTAAATTAAACATATTCCTACCTGAGAACCCAAGCAGGCAACCATCATATGAGTGAGGAGTTTAGCAGCAAACATTGATGCTCTGGTACATAAGAAATATGAAAATAGAGCCAAGATGAAGCCTGTTGTAACCAAAGAAAAGTAGAATTCAATTACTAAATCAGCCAAATGATTCAGATCATTTCACAAATTGCAGTCCAAGTTATGTACAGCAAGACAATGTTTTGTCCAAATGGTAACAACGTGAGGTCATGGTGTACAACAGAAGGTCACAATGCCACAAAGCAATGTCACAACAAAAGCATAAAAGAGGCAGAGTTTAAGTTGCAAAACTGTAATGTTAATCATTTCTGCTCACACTTGCAGCTCTGTGGATAGTTATGTTCTTAACTTCTCCTGTTTCTATGTACTTTCATTGCACTCACACAAACCTTATAAATTTTTTCTCTTCTGGAATTCATAACTACATAGAACTATTTAATTTAATAAGCTACTTCTGGAAGTACAGTGATATAAAACTAAACAAATTCCTTTTTTTAAAATGAATTTCAGTAACTTTTGTACTATTATCTTCCAGGATATATTCCATTTCAAATATACATCTTAGACAAACATCTAAATATTAAATATCCTAACTAAAATATTTGTGAATGTGTCCTAGGTGTATATGGTAGAAATAGAAATTTGAGCAGTAATCTTTGGACAAAAGTTATCCACTTTTAACTACTTAGATAGACGTGAATTCTAATTAGCTGAAATAAGGCATATCAGCTGAGATTTCCTTGGCTAATAACTTAAGGAAGCATAAAATCTTTTATTTGCATTTTTCTCTTGATAAAGATAAGGTCTTCTTTGAGGATATTATCATTAAATAAAATATATTTTGGTGAAGTTTCAAATAATCACACAATTATTTTGAAAGATCCAAGGAAGAGTTGGAATTGTAGGAGTCCATTCTGTATCATTTTTTAAAAGCAAAAAGAAATTGGAGTAAAAAATGAGTCAGCATCTTCATTATGCATGTCTAAAATAGCTCCCAAAACTTTCCTTATATTCCTTACTTGGTGACTTTCTGAAAGAACTTCCAATATTATCTTTTTAAATCAGTACATAAATTAACAATACTGTAACACAACTGACCAGAAATACAGATGAAACCAGAAGAAAAGAAAGCTTCATTGTAAGAAGAGAAGCTGTCTGTCTGTGCACTAGCTGCGTAAACTGACATATGTGAACAAGAACATTCCACGTAATTGGAGGAATCATCCATCAGCTTACAGAATTGAGCATTAGACAGCCAACTACAGAGGAAACAAATATTGACAGTTAATTTATTATTTCTTAACTTGATCAATGTCAAAAAATGTAAACAAACGTTATAAGAATTGTGTTGGTCTATAACAAAACCAAAATGCTTTTATAAATCAGAATAAAGTTCCTTTTTTATGGAATTTATTAGCTAGAATACTACATGATTGTCCACAAGGAACATAAAGTCAAGACAAAATTTAGAATTTAACCAGATGGATGTCAAACTTTATAGGAAAGCATAGTTTCGTAAGGGTGTGTGAGACTTCTGAGATCTGATAAGCCTAAATCAGATTTTCTCAGTAGGTTATCAATCAATGTCTAACAGGTTAATTCAAACATATTGAACTTATCTGGGTTAATATGTCAAATCTTGATCAGGATTTAAAAAGTATATAAATCACTATATATAGGAGCCATTAAATATCCATGTGTATGTTTTCAGACCAAAGCAGAAATCTGATTGTGTCTTGTTAATGAAACTCCATCTTTCTCTAAATTTATATTTATATACTAGCCATGTAGAAGGCAGTTGTTCAAGACTAGGAACACATTAAGTAGAAGGCATTATAGGTTCCAATAAACTTGCCTCACCCTGTCAGCACCTCCATATTTTTTGGAAGTCTTGAGAATTGAATAAGATGAGGAAAAGACACAACTTCTTTAAAGAACTACCAACAGATGCAGTGAGTACACTCACACCCTCTGGGAATCACCCTCTTTCACTTTACACCTGCACAGCAACACATAGCTAATAGATGTATGTGTTTGTGGCTAGACACGTAAACAAAGAATTATAAATATACCTTTCAGCAATCTGATTCCAAACAAGACACAAAGATTTATGAGGGATTATATGACTGTCTGTTGAATAAATCCGGTAGATGACCTCATTGTTATCTTTTAGCTGAACTGGACTCTGTCCCTTCAAGCTCATTGAAAAAATCTGAAATGGGAAAGACAGGCATTTTTTGCTTTTAAAATATTCAGGATTCTTATTTTATACTTGATTCTTATTTTGCACTAAATATTCAAATCTATCTTATTCCAAGCAGGCCATCAGTAACTCCTGAAAAGATACCAATTCTCTAATTGGTATCAGTTTAAAATACTTCCCCTTTATCCTTCCTACAATACAGTGACTATACTTCATAATGCAAAGATTTGAAGAGATATCATTCAGACTTGTATTTGCTTTCTAAAAAAAGATGCCCAAATTCCATCTCATACAATGTCAAGAAGATTTGAATCCATATCTTATGGATGCCATTTTACAGAACCAATTGTCCCTAATATTATTAATTTGTTTTAAGAATGCAATCTTCAGAACCTTAAGAGATATATAAACCAAGCAAGTGTAAAATCATATAATTTAACATTTTATTAATTTACTGGGCATCTTACCACTTCTTTCCATTAATAAGATTAAAAACCTAGAAATAACAAAAAGAACAACAAAGAAAAATTCTTCCAGCAACAATAAAAGGAACTCACATTTTATGGGCAGTCAATATTCAATCTAGTCTATCCAGAAGAGCTATGTTTAATGCTCTTTGAAATTAATAGAGATGGAACAGTTCTGTGAAGAGGTTATTCCAAAATGAGGAGGGATATTACTGAGGAGACTTGAGAATGAAGTCCCTGAAGATGACATTTCCTTAATGTATCACCTCCCCTTGATCTTACTAGATAGGGTGATTCCCCTTACAGCAGGCAACCCCAAGGCCATAAGCTATATATTGTTTTTGAAAAGTGTCAGCCATCACCTTGAATTACATTTGGAAACTGATAACCCAACACAGCTATAGCCATGCAGATGTTACATAAGTAAACTTTGGTATGTCTATGACAATCCAAGCTGTCACATGTTTAATTAGATGCAGTTTGCAAAAGGTTTTCAAGGATAGCCTCATGTATAAAAACTGTTGATTGCATCCTTTAATATTAATATAAGTTTTTGTTGCTATAATTATATACATACATTTCTATATGGGTTCTCCTTGAAGTGAAGAGCAGCTCTGAATAAACATGCATGAAATATGAGTATGAAAGTAATTCTGTTAAGGCTGGGTAGCACTTTGAATTCCAAGGAAAGAATGTGTTTCAAGATATGCATGACATCCATATGCCATTTGTCAGAAACACCTTAAACCAAATGTATCTTTTCTTAGAATAGTATGATAGCTATAGAGATCAGCTATGCAAACCCAGAAAGCCCAGATGTTTTAAGGTGTTCCTGACAGGTGCATTCCCATGGGTGTTCTGAATCATATATTTTATTTTGAATTTGCAGCACTGCATCATCCTAAATTGTACAAATCAATTGATTTTTTTCCAGTAAAATGTTTTAAGATAGTCAATAGATCTTCATGTATAAGTCTCATTAAAAATCCACACCATCAGTCAGACTTGCTCATGGAACTCAAAATCAGATTCTAGCATTTCCTCAATAATAGTTTTCATCTCATCTTACATAAGGTTCATAAATGTGACTCTAACAGAGCAGTTGAGGTTATAAAATTTGATAGCTAGGTCAGCAGAAAGAAATGGCTCCCTAATCATCTATGAAACTGATTTACAGATTCTGGCAATAGATTGGCTTGCTATACTAAGACAGGCCCAGAATGCTATCATAGGCAATGAGACATTATACAAATAATGAGAATCAAGTTATAGCAAGACAAACCATTATTAAAAAGATGCATGCTCAATATTTTCTTTGAGAATAATGTACATCTAGCAACAGTTTTCTTTGGTATTCTGAATGTCATATTTGTTTGCCAACTGTAAGCAAATATTCCTACTACTTTCTATGACCAAATCATTCCATTGATATTGAGAAGCCATTAAATCTAGAAAACAGCAGTCTGCTACTAATATGGCTGCTGATTCAGATGAAATTACATTAAAATATTTTTAAATCCAATATGTCATAAATGAAACAAAAGCAATCCCATCTTATAAGAGTAGTAAAATAAAAAAATGAGTACTTGGATGTAGACTGGGAAAACCACATAAGGAACGTTGATATTTCTAACAGAAACAAAACTCACAGGATATTGATCTAAACAATAGTTTAACAGATTACCTTATTTTTTAGGGCAATTCCTCTACCATCTGCTGTAAACCATTGCTGGCTACTATATTCAGTGACTTGAATGAACCTACAAGTTGCATCATCATTAGACTGGGATGAAGCAGAAACTTCTAACAAATGGTCAGGAACTCTAATGAAATCCCCATCTTTTCCATCAAATTTATGCCCATTGATTTGTTGTGGATACCAGTGATGTGATGTGATTACAATATAAGGGCAATGGTCAAGGAAAGTTTTACCTCTGTTAAAAAAAAACAGTAACAACAATCTAAGTAACTAGAAAATTACTATCTGCAATGAAAAACATGCAGTAGATGCTCATGCCTGCTCATAGTCTTATTGGCTCACCAGCAATACAATAAATAATATATCAAATATTAATTCATTAGTAGTATATTCAAGTTTTAGTTCAACTCTTAAATGTGAAATAAAAAAATGTAATCCTGATCCTGAGTGCTAAAGGATTCACTTCATAGGATATTAGACATTCTAAGCAATTTGCTTACTTGCATACTAAGATACATACATAGACCTGCAAATAATCTTGTAGAAACGTGTAGAAAATGACATTACCTTTCACCCTGTGAGCCACACTTTTCACCAACAGGAAGAGAAAAAGCAAATTTCTCTGTAATATCAGCAAGGAAGCTATAGCCTCGAGTATCTTTGCGTTTGGGATCAGCTAGTGCACAGAGGATTTCATACAAAAGATTTCTGTTTCGATCAGTGAGTGCCTGTATTTCTCCTTCAGATATTACCTTGAGAAGCAAATATTTTAAAAAATGTTCAGTGTCTAAAATGGCTTGATTCTTTTGTATTGGGATAATTGATGAATTAAGCATTTCAAACATGAAATAAAAACATCCTTAATAAATATTGAGAGTAAGTGCCATTGATTTCAATGGAGCTCTTCCCTTGCATAATAGTGATATCTAAAACTTCATGGAGGACTAATCTTGAATACATAGTGAAGATAGTTTATGTCATGCTCAATGTATTGGAATTTAACACTTACATTGTATATCAGTTGCTCATTCAACTTCAGTTCAGTTAAACATTTGGATGAGTAACTTTCATCTAAGTGAGCAAATACTGCTTATGGATCCTATATATAATAATATGTACAATTTTCTATTTTTAAAAACAAAATAATCATTGGGTCAAAGCTTTCACTATTCTGGCTTCATCTCTCAGAAAAAAATGATTAAGATTTCATAATTCTAAGAAATCTTTAATTATTACAGAAGGGAGAACAAGATATGGACCTTATCTATGATATACATCACAGCAGAAAGTTGCTCCTCTGTATTTTCTTGGATTATTTTGATATTTAGATGTTGGAGGATTGTGTTCAAAATAATATCATCAAGTGGTTGAAACAGCTGATCAGTCAGACTCCAGATTGCTTGGGAGTTTGAATCAGAAACGATGGTGATGTTGGCAATACCATAGATGGCATCAATTCTGGCACCACCTGTAGGATTGAACAGCATAACTTGGAAGCGTTTAGGAAATAAATTTAGATATTCATTCTTTGGGTTGAGTATTATACTCATCAGAGCATTTCTCTGTCCAGATTCAAAAGACAATGTTCCTTCAGAAGCAATAAAATCTTGTCCGGAAATGGCAGGCGATATGATTACACGGCCAAAAGTTTCAGGTCTCAACAGCTCCTGAAAATCAGGAAATAAATGTCTAGGTAAGAAATTAATTATGGTATGTTGCAATTTGTAAGAACAAATTTGCTTCAAACTATCAACATTTCTAAAACTTCAATAAGTGATAGAGACTCTATAACGTTGTGTTCTAGAATCCCATGTATCTAGCCCAGATGTATTCTGGCAAAAACATGTCTGTATCATCAAGTGAGAGAATTTTCAAAAACTTTAAATTGTCCATTATCATTGGTAAAATGATTGAGGAACTAGGTACCCCCCTGCTTTCAGGGGGTATTAATTTGAAGGAGAAGTCTTCCAGAAGTAAAGTGAACTGCTTTAGGCATCACTTTGGGTAGGTAAGAGATGAAGTCTGAAATTGAGACCTAGATGATATGTCTATATTTTAAAATTATTTGTCCTTCAGTGGGCAAAAGAAGGTTGGAACCATATTTTATAAACATATAAAGATGTTAGTATTCCTCAGTTTATCAGCTATCTGTATTATCAACTATTATCACTAGTTCCTCAGCAGCTAGTCACTTAACAATAGCAATTGAGGAAAATTTCTTGAATTAGTAACATGGAGCTTATTTACCAACTCAGGATGACATCTAATCCTGCAGCAACTGAGGAGAGTCAACTTACATTTGCACCCTAAGATTTCCTTGCATATTCATGCTTTAGTATCACAAGAACCTACATGCATATGTTCAGCTGGCATATTTGTAGTGCACGTACACCCATGTAAAATAATATACTTTATAATACATAACAGTATAATAGTTCAGCCAGAAAAGCTCCAGAATTAATCCTAGTAACAATATATTTCCACATACATACATACATACATACATACATACATACATACATACATACATATATTTGAATCCAGATTCTTTCTCAGTACTAGAATAATTCTTAGGAATATCAGTGTATAAAATATAAACCACTAAAAAGTATACTGTTTTGTCAACTCAACCTATATCCCAGTTTCAGTTAAACAACACTGCTAACCTTGTGCTTGGCAGAAAGCTTTATAGGGGTGAATTAGCAAGGGAACTAGAAAAAAAGACTCTTTCTCTTGGCTATTTAAATGAGACACCACCGCTTCCATTTGGGTGATGGAACTGATACAAAAAGCAGTTAATTCACAAAGGACCAAGGATGAGTTCAACTGTCAAAGATAGAGTAACTTCAATTAAGATAGGAAAGGAAAACTATAAGCTTCTAACAAACTCTAATTCTGTTCCACATTGTCACCTGGAGAATCAATCATAAAAATCCAAAATGTATTAGTTACCATATCTGGCTGCACAAAATCCTTAAACAGTTTTTGCAACCTAAACATCCCAATTCAGAAAGAGGGAGTTGACCCACAGTGACAAATGTCTTTAGTGAAACTCAGTGGAGTAATCTTTCACTTATTATAAACACAATAGTATTGCAGTTATTTTTTTTTTCATTCAATCCAGTGCATAATTATGTTTCAATTTGTGTTGTTTCCTCATAGAACATCCTCAGCCATGAAAAGCTATAAGATAATGACTATTTCATAGCCACTTAAATTAGTAACTTTGCTGGAAGGGTTTGAAACCACTTCTCCTAAATCCAAATCAACTATATGTGCACCAAGTTTTCAAAGGACTGCCATTGTTAGATGAAATCTACAAATTATTGATTTCAATTATAACTTCTGGAATTTCAAATGGGCACTATTTTTTCCCTATGAATAAGAGGTAAACTAGCCTTTAGGCAAATCTTTATTAAATAAATATAACCTTGATTTGTTTCTTTGTAAAATATCTATCCAACATATAGGATGAAAGAAAATGTTATCAGGCTATTACAAACTACTACTCTAACTTGCAACTATTCAACAAAGAATAAATACGAAAATACTTTATATGAGATTTTTTTTAAAAAGAGAAGGAATAAGGGCTTCACCAAATATGTACTCATGTGAAAAATCAGAAGTCTGGTCATTTAATTTTATTAAAAGACATTGGTTATTGTGAGCTGCAGCTTATTTTATCAGTTGTCAGATGATATCCAGATATACAGCAAGATATATTCATGTGTCTGTCTTACCTGAGTCCTGTAGCCGACGGAGATAGGAAATGCTGTGTCAGAATCTCTAACTACTTGGAGTCTAATTGAAGTGGTTTTCATATGGGCCACAGCCAGACGAGACCCCACAGCAAAGTAGATGAGATCCTTCTGCACAGAATCACTCTCTGGAACTATAATGTTTGCAAATCTGGCACTCTCATTTAAAGCTGCTCCTTCCCCCACATCATACAGTTCCACAAAAAAACAGATCTCAGATTCAGCATCCTGATAATCAAAATGGGCAGTCAAATGACTGTATATTTTCCAATCAAAGGGTATATATAACAACAATAATTTTTAAAAAGCTACCAAGTGCAATTTTGCTACATTTTGTGCAGTGAGTTTACCAGATCATAGAACTATGTGTTTGGCCTTATTAAAAAAACAACAACTGTTACTTGGAATCTGGATAGAAATCCTGTTGTCATTCATGTAATTTGTGAATCATTAAAATGTATTCTGGGAAAGTACACATGTATAAATAAACTCCTCAGTGGAAAAAAATATTAATTAATTTTATATTTTTTTCAAACTTATTTCAAATACAATTGATAACTCTCTTCATTTTTTTCTAAGTACATAGAAAGATTAGCAAATTTGCTCTCTTAAGGATTTGTGATTTTTTTTAAAAAAAAATCTAATGGAAACCCTTCTTATGCCATGTATAGTTAGCTTTAAAGATTATTGATCTTTGGAATATAAATGCTAATTAAAAAGGAACAAGTATCAGTTCAACATCTAAAATCCTACAATTTTCCAATTTTCTGCACAGAACCTCATTAGTGGACAGATTCCCACTGCTGTAATGTCACATAGATTACAAAAATGAAGATCCAATATAGATAATTCTTTCCTAAGTAAAAAAGGTATGCTGCTTCATAACCAATAGCCTAGAAATATGATAATGCAAATGGAATATTCTCCAGCTTCTCATCATTTGACCACATTCTACTATATTTTGTGGGAGAGTAGTTAGGTGACTAATTCATTATAAGTACTCACATTATCAGGCTGGATCTCAATAGAAACCATGCACTGTACTTGGCCAGCCTTACAAGTGGTAACCCCTGTGACAGCTATCAGTTCATTTGCCAGATTGGTGCCATTACTGTGCAGGACAACTGATGTTTGATTAAAAGTTACACGCCAAGACACTTTCACATCTTCAAAAGCCCTATTAACAAAACAAAACAAAATAACTGCATTGATGCAGGCAGCCATTGGAAAAGTCTTTACCCTCGCATCCATTTTGTTCCTATAGCAAAATTGTGCATTTTTAAAAAAATGAACAATGTTTATCCTATTATTTCCATTGCTAAATCATAAAAAGCAACCACATTATTTAGCAATGGCAATCTCTATAATCTAGGTTGCTATCATTAATTGAATCTCATAGTCATTAGGCAAGGCAACTTCTTGTGACTTACACATCCAATTAATGGAGAAGCCAGCAGGAAGTTGTAAGTCCCAGGCCAGCAAGCAGGTAAATTGTATACTACTAGGTAGAGTCTGCAAGGGGATGAGAGGATGCTTGCAAGTGCATGAGAAGCATAGCATGGGCTACAAAGGGTTAGAGTAAACACACATAAAGTGACACTCCATTTTTTTAACATAAGGATCTCAAATTCAAACCTTGTTTAGAAAATGCTGTTCAAATCAAATTTTTCATAATACGAGTGACCTGAAATAGTAGTGGGATGCCTTTGATTTTACCAATATAATGTAATGCAATGGATTATATGATCAGCATTTAAAATATGAAAAAGATTATTAATGAGATAGATCAAGTGCCATCTGAATCTACAGTTCGAGCCAAATTGTACTTTCCTGAAGAAAGCATCAAAGAGTAAATGTGTACACATTGGACAAAAAATAATTTCACCTTGTAGCTATTATGTGTATGAATTAGGGTAAATTTATTTTTCTCATTTTTGTTCAGTTCTGGTATACTGATTGACTTATATTCTAAATTTATGAGATAATTATCCCAGTTTGCAGTAATTTACTAGAATGTCTAAATGGCTTCACACTAAGATCCCGTCGCAACCTATCCTGCTTATAATTATAATGCTTGATTTGACACAATGCATTATAGTAAATGAAGATAACACTTTTTATTAGCAGCTGCTTGCACCTGTTTGGCTGTCGGGTGACAAAGAGTTCTACTTTCCTCTTTTCTGAATCTTCATCAAGCACAAGACCATGTTGAGTTTCTTCACTGAATCCTAGAATTCCATTCTGAAGATCATTTCCTAAATGGGAAATAGATCATTCCAAAATATCAAGAAGCAAGTAAATTATTACATTGTAGAATTCATTGAAAATTATTTCCCAAAATGAGATAATTACATGATATTACATGGATTGAGGAGCTATTACAATATAAATGGAGAAACTGTATTTTATATAAAATAATGGGCTATTTAATGCTGCTGGAATTAAAACATTTAAGAATACTTATGCGTTTTAAGATATGATAGGATGGAATATTGTTGATATGATAATCACAACACAAATATAATGGCATTTGTTTGTTGAATCAACACATTTTAAAGCAACTGGGTATCTTCATGACATAGAATTAATATTAATAAGATAAGGCACTAGGGAAAATAAAAGGGCTCCTTTACCAATTTTTGGAAATATATCACTAAGAAAGGCAGTCTTTCTTAAGTGGTGCTTGACTCCTTCCTCAGACATGGGGGTGTTATTTTCCTAGTAACAATTTGAAATGCTTTTCTATTGTCTACTTTACTATTTTAGCAAGAGCTGTATGGCTCACAAATTATTGGTTGTTATAATCTTAACAAAAATAGTAACCATCAGAATCTTTTCCTAGGTAAGAGGGGACGGTCACAATGGTGCAAGCAGCATTGAGGAATAACAGTTCAAATCCTGCCATTTTCCACTCATGTTATGAATCATACATATTCCACAAAGATGTGGAGCTTGCACTGTGATGCTTCTACATTATTTTGACACATATGAGAACCTGCAGATGCTGCTGACAGTAACTGATTCATAAAGATTTAGCTGAATCTCTGCTTAATTTCTTCCTGTAAAAGACATAATTTTTAACAGAAAGCCTGCATTCTTGATCCTAAATGGAACGTATTTAAGTTAATTTCCTTTTATTATCTTTCCAGATAAATTCAGATGCTAATTATTGGCAATTACACCAGTCTAGTAAACAAAAGTAACTGATATGTAGAAAGACGATTCTGTTCTTACCAGTCCAACAAACAGGTAAATGTTAGCCCAGGAGACACGATGAGATAATTTTACTTTTGTTCCCAAAAAATTTTTTTTTAAAGTCTGTTCAGGTATAATTTTTATGTATTGAATCCCTCACACAAGGAAATATAAACAGAATAGTCTTTCATCTCTTAGTCATGTTGGTAATATAAGAGAATATAAGTCTCATATAGAATCATTACAGCTGTTCTCAAGATTTACTAGAATACAAAGCTTCTAATATGCAATTGTGTGTGTGTGTGTGTGTGTGTGTGTGTGTGTGTGTGTATGTGCATGCACGTACACGCGCAATATTTTGATCTGAATTTTAAACCAAAAGGAAATGCTTAGTTATCAACTTCAGATCCATATTCCTTACTGAACTCATCCTTATTTGCCCTTATTTTCTGGTTTGCAAAGCCTAATTTATATTATCCAGTACATGAAACTGACCAAATAAATTTGAGTTTTTCAACAGACCCTTTATATGAATTCTACATTGTTTTCATCATAATCTTTTCCCTTCAATTATTACAATTACATCCAACAAGAAAACATGCTAATGCCACTATTTCAATTTCAATCTATATTGTCAAATGCAAGAAATTTACCAGATATTCTCTTCTTCTTCAGTCACAATTACTTTGAAAATGATGGTCCAGATAACTGAGAGAATGTATATGATTTATATTACAAACTCTGGAATACACACTTAATTGGTGTTGTTTTTTATTTAGAGTTATTATTTGCATAGCAGTACCATTTTACTAAGGAAACTCTCTTTCCTCTCAGCATTTTGCTTATATACTAAAACAACATAAATATGTCTACCTTTGATAATTATTGTGGAAAAACCTTTAAACCCATATTCATCTATGCTTTCTGTAATCTGGGCTCCATCTTGAGGTTCAGAAAGAACAACATAAAAGAATTCTTCCCCTTCAGGTTCGTCATCATCAAGAATTGTGACAGACACTTTGCTTTCTCGTTCCCCATCCAATAATGTGACAGACAGAGCCATCTCTTCAAAGTCCGTACCTTCGATTGCCCAGGTAAGATTAGAAACCACAGGGATAATTTCAAAAGGAAATGTATCTGCCCCACTTTGGGCATTTATTGCACCAAAAGTTTTTATATTTACAGAGATATTTCCCACAAATCCCTGAGTCCTTCTGATATGAATCAGAATAGTGTTGGAAGCAATGTTATTGCTGTCTTCTTCAGTGTAAATAATCGTTGGTTCAAGACTTAAAATTCCATAGTGGACATCACTGGCCAGTAGGGTAATTGATGCAATGCTAAATTCTGGATTCAGGCGTGGATTACAAGCTGGGTTAAGGTCCTGAACATCTAAAACATTCACAGATGTTAAATTCACAAAAAACGTTTCTTCCCCTTCTGAAATGCTGTCATCAGTTACCACGATTTCCAACACTGTGTTAATTTCAAGGAATCCAAAAACAAGTTCTCCATCATGAGCAGGTTCAAAGTCTTCTAATGATTTGGCACTTCCTGAAGTGGTCTGATAGAACACCTTTGTGAGATTGCTTTGATAACCAAAAAGTCTTTGTACATTTAATCTGATTGTTAGAACATCTTCCCTCACTAAAATGTTCCTTGAGCTAGGAGCAAATTGAAAGACTCCCATTGGCTCAATCTCAGCAATAATGAAATCTGATCTGAAATAAAACAAATATGACACTTGAATGTGGAAAGATAAAGGCAGGACAATTTTAACTCATCTTCAATAGACAGATCCATTTAAAAACATTAGCATATTGGGTTCATTTGTTCAAACTGAAGAAACAGTTTTAGAACTTTATGATGATATCAGTTCATAAGTTTAGTCATTGTGTATTTTGGTTCCATAATTATTATTAATAATAATTATTAATTATTAATGTCCAGATAAGTGGTAACTTTATCTTAGACAAAAGAAGGAAATAATGAATGTCAATTAATTAACGGGTGGGGTGGGAGGAATCCTTGTTGTACTAATAGGATGATAAACCAAATATTCAACTTGAGTGATAACTTTCTTACCTTAGACAAGCCCCACCAGATGCATTACTCTGCACAGCAGCCAGATGTACAGCAAACACCTCAGGACTATTTGCATTTGGAATAACTTGCAATAAAATTGTTTTGTTTTGTTCACCATGGGAAAAAGTAACTGTGCCTAGAAGGAAAAAGGAAAAGAGATAGATTGAAAGCTACTGGAATGTTAGAGAGTAATAGTATTAAATCATGAGTTGTTGCCAGTTGGGCAGCATGCAAGTTTAATAAATTATGGTTTGTCACACAGTTAGTTGGATGTTCAGATTGGATTTGACATTTTTATCTACCTATTGAGTCCTTTCCAAGGACTTGGGATAGGCAGATATTGATGTTTGATGGTATTAGAGGTATTGTTGCAGTATGTAAGCTACTTTGACTAAAACTGCCTTTTGCAATTGACTAATGGTGAATTTGTCAATGCCGATGGTGCCCAACTGGTGCTCTATTGTTTTGGGATTGCACCCAAGGCATCTATTACTATTATCTTTCCTTTTTTGGGGGGGGGACACATTTGATCTATTTGCAGGTCTTTGTGTTTTGTTATCTTTTATATTCAAAAATATGCTACAGACACCAAAAGGAAATGATGGAAAAGACCCTTTAAACACTGATTCATCATTCAGGTTTGCTCATTGGTTGAGTAACAGATTAAAAGGAAAGGATACAGCAGTTACACTGTATACATCCCAGATATCAAAAAGTTTACAACGTCAAGTTATGATAAAGTACAGTGAAGTATGCCCTGGATATAACAATTAACTATCTATTTTCCTAAGGGAAAAATGGTTTAAGAAAAGAGAGTGATAAACCAAATTCAGATAGGGAATAATCAAGGAATTGTTTTTACATTTTTTAAAATTAAAAGAAAACAATTGAAGGTACAAAAAGAGTTTATGGTAAAATAATTCCCTTCAATCTTGAGCATAGTTCCTTTCTTCATTTCTTTTTCTTTCTTTATTACTGTCCCTTTGTTATCAAAGTGTTTGAATTGTCCTACTGTCCTCAAGACTAGCAAAATGATGGCACTTACCAGAGGCTGGTATAGTACTGCCTTGGTGAAGGTATAGTGGAATGAGCCCCAGTGGATATCCAGAATTCCAAGTTACTACAATGGAGCCATATATTCCTTTACGAGTTATAACAGCTTGAGTTGTTCCTGCTGTAATATTGTTAAGGCGCAAGATAATAGAATCAAAGGCAACCTATGAAGAAAATACTGTTTTTGTTAGAAATTATGGCAACAGCTTAACCAAACTAAAATTATAGCCATGTGCACTGAATAATTGTATATGGAATACTGCTGCTGTTGGTAATAGAAATATTTCATGAAATAGAAATATTGCATTGTTTGTGCAATAAATCTATATTTTGAAATTTTAAGTTTTGTTTAAAATATACTACATATATTTGTTTTAATCCAGAAGCAAATATATATCAACTATAAAACAAATGACAATTGGAAATGAAATATTATACATGAGTTTTTTATAATACCTAGTTAAAATAACCTGATATTATTTTAGCCGAGGTGGCGTAGTTGTTAAATGCAGCACTGCAGGCTACTTCAGCTGACTGTAGTTTTGCAGTTCGGCTGTTCAAATCTCACCGGCTCAGGGTTGACTCAGCCTTCCATCCTTCCAAGGTGGGTAAAATGAGGACCCGGATTGTTGGGGGCAATAACTGACTCTGTAAACCGCTTAGAGAGGGCTGAAAGCCCTATGAAGCGGTATATATGTCTAACTGCTATTGTTATTGCTATTGCTATATTTGCAAGCCAGGAATGACAAGATTCATATTTTGTTTCCTACCACCACTGCCAAATTGCAAAGAGAAAAATGGTGATGCAAAAAAATACATGAATGTGCTTGCCCCCAAATATGTAGTGAGAAATAAAAACCAAAATAAAAAAAATCAAGATGTTATAATACAATACTAATAATTTATTCAGGTCTTTCAACACCTGGCAGTTATGTCTAATAAATTAAAATGTGTTCCACTGGTTGTTAAGTTGTTAGAAACTATAAATCTAGTTACCTGAGAATTGGCAGCTTCTTTGGGAATTGGAAAAGAGACCAACCTGGCTGTCTCTAATATTTTAGGCGCAATATTGGCACTAATATTAACTAACGTTACATTGATCAGTTCCAGGGTCAAATTCATGCCAAGGGAAATAAATACCTGGAAATTTATAATAATAAAACATAGTAATTAAAAATTACATCTATAGATTAGCATTCAAATAAGACTTTAAAATATTTAATTCAAGCAAGACTTATTTAGACATGTAATTTTCCTCCAAAGTTAATAGAAAGCAACATTAAAATTATAATGAAAAACACCAGCAAATTAAGGCTACCAAATTTTAACTTTATCAAAATTATTTATTTAGAATCTGTAAGTGCCATGTCATTTTCTATTACATCATATTAATAGAACACATTATTTTGAAATATGTAGCCACAACCTTTGCTTTTGTTATCATTGTGAACATTCAAATATATAGAGTGTCACCTGTTATGATCTTGTTTAAGCTTTGTTACCTAGATAGACTAAGGAAATGCATTCTTTGATATACATGACTTTTAGGGACTGTGGATAAGAGTTTTGAGATACATCTTTCAACATCAAAAAGCGGCTTCCCAAGAAACTGGCATGTGCACTCACTACTGTGCATTTTCCTTCATGTACCTTAAAACAGGATTCTTCTGCTTTTCTAAATTAAAACCAAGACTTAATAAAAAAAATTATAGCTCATAAAATACTGTTTTTGATTACAAAACACTACAATCATAATTTAAAAAGATCTTTCAGTGGGAAGGGAAATAACAGACCTGGGTGTATATTGGCACTGTTTTCAATCCATAACTGGAGCCTGCTTTAATGTGTAGCTTTCCCACTCTGTTGGCTGGTGTGATTGCTTTTTCTTCATTGAAAGATGAAATTTGGTACTGTACAATTACATCTGCAAAAGTCCCTGCATGCCGAGAAATATTAATCTGGATAAGGCGGCTGAGATCTTTCTCTACTAGTACTGACTGTTTTTCACCATACAAGGCAAATACTCCATATGGGTCATCATTTGCAACCACCATGAATCTAGAAATGCTTTTCTCCAGATCCAAATCAGCTCCTCCTTCCACTGAAGTAAGCTGCACTTCATAATGCTCATCTATTTCAGGAACATCATCAGGCAACAAGGAAATTACAATGTTCGAAGTCCTTTGTAGATCAGGAATCACAACAGAACCTCTCATAGTTATAAAATCATTTGTAGTATCAGAATCACTACTTAATTTCCAGTAAATCTATAACAATTAAATTAAAAGAAACAAAGAAGCTTTGGTCAATATATTGAAGTCGCAATGAAATGAAATTTTATATAGTTTAGATGTTACAGACTTTACAATTTGAAAACAATATTCTCAGAACAAACAAGCATACTTTCAGTTTCTCTGAAACCCCATCATTATTAATTCTTAAATTTTGTTGTTCATACAAATATCCTTTTCAAAACATTTTACTAGGAAAATATATATATTTAAAAAGAAAATATTCATGAAGTTCAGAAATGTAACATACATTTTCTCTGTCATATGCTTGCATATATTGTATATGCATAGGTAGACAGATATCCCTTCTCTTAATAGATGTATTTTTCTACTTCCTACCACTTATGTATCTACCTACTTATTGTATAAAAATATCCCAAATTAATCTATTTCAGTATACATCTTTGATCCAAATGGGTTGATATATTCCAAGTCTAGGACTGGGAGTAACTGGCCACTTCTTCTAGTCCAATACTTTAACCATTATACCATACTGGCTCGTCTGTCTGTCTATTTATCTATCTGTCATCTAATATTTATCTATCTTAATCTCCCATTGATTTAATTCTTCACTCATAATGAAGTTATATTGGACAAACAACTAAGTACCAAAGTCGAATACCGTGATGTTCCCCATAATGCCTTGAATTCGCTTTATGGAAAGCACAATATTCAGTGGACCTTCAGATGCTGATGGTTCCTCAAAAGTCTTTGGAGATAAGGATTCAGGAACAAACTGCACTATCCCATTGGGATCACCAAACTTTAAAATCTAGGTTAAGAAAAAGTAATGGTTATACTTGGCTTTCCTAATTAGTGATACAGTACACAGAACATTCAAGTACTTTAATTACATGTTTCCTTTTTAAATGGTGTGCTGTAATGGTGCTCATTATTATAAGTGACCTTTAGACTCTTGTCCCCCTGTGTTAAAACAGCTCAAACATTTTCAAAAGTTATTTTTTATATGACAAAAGCTATAACCTTCTCATATATGATTGTATGTTGTAGCATTAATAAAAAGATGCTGTAAAGAATAATAAAGAAATAAAACAAATAACAGTAAAGCTCAAAAGAGTACTATTATTATTAATAAAATCATTTACTTTTACTGTTATATTGGCAGCCTTGGGATCTATTCTTGTTTCTCCCCTCATAGCACGCAACCTTATAATGAAGGTCTCTTGAACTTCAACTTCTTCATGAGGATAAATTTTCAAGTTGATATGTCGCAAGCCACCTTCTGCTTCCGCAAAATAAAATGATCCATTTACTGGGTCACTGATGTCACTATTCATAGGAGGTAAAATTACCTCTGAATTAGGTCCTAAAATGTCCCAAATAATCTGCAGATGACATATATTTTAAGAAAGCATTATTGATAACTTAAAAGTGCTACAGCATAAAAAAATATTCTTAGTACATATTAATCAATGTGCAATATAAAGATCTTTTGTGGATATTCCCAGAGAAAGTGTGCCCTTTTGCTCAATTAATCTGCTAAATGTTTAACTGGCTTTAGATTAAAGAAATGAACTCATTTATTTATCTTTTAATTAATTACTTGATGAGCCACCTATATTGCCAAAACTGAAACACAATATATGTATACACTATATTGCCAAAAGTATTCACTCCACATTCTGATTATGTGGATGGGTGAGCGAATACTTTTGGCAATATAGTGTATGTGTAAAATTATATGAAAATCTACCAATCAGCAATTTTTAAAAGA